AAAAAAAATTTGGAAAAAAAAAAAAAAAAAAAAAAAAAAAAGATGGGGGGGATTTATAAATCAGAAACATTAGGCAACCTTAAAAAAAAATGTGGTGCTACCACCCCCAGCTCAAAGACCCACTGACAGGGAGTGTAAAGAACAGCTCTCTCAAGGATCAAAATAGTTATTTTCAAAAAGAAAAAAAAAAAAATAGGTGCAGAAATTATTCCAACAAACAAAATTCCAGCCACTACCAGAAGGCAAAATTTGCCAGTACCCTTTTCCTTACTGGAGATTAACAACACCTTGCATCATTGATCTAATAGGGGCCTTCCTATTAATAGGAGTGAAAATGACCTCATCAGTAGCAATGAACCTGTTCTATTGTAATACACGGGCGATCTCTGATGAAATACTAGTTTCTATATATAGTCTGTGTCCATGGCACATGCATTGGTAATAACTCAGCACAACCATCAACTTGTAATATTCTGTGACCACACTCATATATTCTGAATGCCCCATTACAGATTTACATGACAATGCAGATTTTGAGATCCATTAAATGATTATGTATTTTCTAAATGTTCTAATAAATTGCAACAGCCTTCAGAAAAGATGAAGGGCATGTAAAATTGGCTTGCAGTCCTCTTCCTTTTCACTCCCATTATGGCAACCGACTTGATGCTCCATTCCAAATATAACTAAAAAGATAATGTAGTAATTTTAAAACACACACATCAACAAAACTATAACCAGTGCTTTATTTTTCTTTCCATCACTCTATCCCCATGGACTTTCATGCTACTGCATGCCATTCACAACAGCCTCCTCCCACATCCCAGAGTAAGAACTGGATATTTTTGCTGATATAGAGTAGCAGCTCAGTGAAGCAGCAACCTCGTCTTGCTTTGGATATCTATGGCACAATATAAATAATGGCAGATTTTCCCAAAGTAGGATTAACAATAAAACCAAAAGGTAAGAGTTTAAATGGATAATTCTTTAGGTCTACCCAAAGTCCTAGTGTCCAATCAATGACTGACAACCCATACAAGAAAGGCAGACATAATCAGTTTTTCACAGTCCTTCTGTACCCCCTTGCCAAGTAATAGGATTCTGCAGATTCCTTCCTGCTGGCCTGAGGCTTTATAGTTCTTACGTTGCAGAAGTGCTCCATCAGCCTGCTTTGGAGAAGTTGGGCATCTCTTCCATTCCAGAATTTACAGAGCATAATCCCCCCTGGCTGCAAGATGCTTGAGGACATATCCAGAACTGACAAGCACAAGTTAATCAGTTTGTCATGATCTAGTTCTTGGATCCCTGTGGCATTAGGTGCCATGTCGCTCAAAATAACATCTGCTTTCCCTGAAGGAAGCAACTCCTGGATCTTATTAAGCGTGCTTGGATCTGTCATGTCAGCATTAGAGAGGAAAACTGCTCCTTCCAGAGGGGCAATCCGCAGAAGGTCAACTCCAAGGACAAAGCCAACAGGGGCACTGGCATCTAGGAAACAAAATGTTAATGCAAGAATGAAAAACACAAGACAGGCCCCTGCTTTTAAACTGATCAAGGTTATTACAAAGGCTGCTAATAATGTATGTATCCAGTAGCTCAGTACTCTATATGTAAACCTACATCATGTGTTGACAAAGTACAATCTACCTCATCCATGACCAGTGTGCTGACCTGGTTAATCCACCAAAACCCAGTGACCTGGAATAAATATTTTTGTTTTAAAAAAATCTATATCCCAGAGTTTTAATCTATACCAGATATAAGAGAAGCAGAGCAGTTCTGCACTCAGCCAATAATAACAAAACTTGCCCTATTACACCTTACAAACATTAACAAATTAAACCACAACACCCATGGGCATTTTTCAGAAACAAAAATAGAGGCAGAGAAGTTAAATTACCTGCTTGAGATCAGACACAGATTGCCCTCAGGGATGGAGACAAAATCTCTTTGCCAGCCCTATTCTCTACCTCCTCAATGACCATCCCTTATATTGTGGCTCAGTGTAAAAGTTTAGTCCCCCTTGCAGTACATCTCTTCCCAGGTTTTTACTCCTTAAAGGCGGCATCATGTGCTCATCCAAGGAAGTACTTCCTTTCTATTCCCAGCACGGTTACAAAAAATCTTAAGTTTGTAGCTGAGTAATTAATTATATAAAATTTAAATAAGCTGAGTACAAGACACACTGAAGTGAAACTAAACTATCTACATCATACCTAATTCTACTGGTAAAAGACAATCTCCACAGACTCCAGGTCAAGTCAGCACTGTCTGCTACTTCATTTGGTGTTGGAACTCAGATGACCCAGTCACCAATTGAGCTAAAATGTTTTTATTAAATCCAAAGGCCAATAGCAGTTGTACAGTTACTTTACACAAATATTCTAAAACACTCTAACAAAACATTAACTGAATGTTAGACAGTGGTGTTACAATCCTCAGCAAAAACCACACCCACACCATGAGATTACAATATTGATCAAGTACCTGCAATAAGGCTATGCCCAAGGATCAGTAAAGGCTTATGCTGGCTGGTTCCAACACAGCTTCACCTGGCATATGCAAAGACATCCTCTCTTACGGTCTTTTATGTCTCTTGATTTCTTATCGCATCCTAACTGGAAACTTCACATGTATTTGCCTTTCCCACACACCAGTGAAAATTCCTTTGCCCATCTGCCCTAGATTTCTTAGGCATAATGTCTGCTATGTCCAGCTGGCATCATTTGGCCCATTCCTCTTTCTAGATTAATATAGCTGTGGCCCTTTGTATTCCTTTTGGAGGACATTAGCTCTTCCATTCTTCCAAGTCATTGCCTGTCTGACCTTTTGTCTTTTCCTCTCTCTCAACTACTGCATGCCTGAAATTGCCAGGTCTGTATCTGGTGAAACATCCCATCACCTATGGCATTTCACTGCCTAATTCCTACACTTGGGAGCTAAGCTTGTGAACTTACCAGTGCCCAAGGCATTGACCCTCTGTACAGCAACCTGACTCCATGCCCCAGGAGCAGCTCCACAGTCTAGCACAGAAAACCCTGGACAAAGAACCCGATGCTTATTATCAATCTCCAGCAGTTTGAAGGCACTTCGGCAACGATAATTCTGCTGTTTCACTGCCTTCACAAATGGGTCCTTCAAATGCCGCTCCAGCCAGCGGTGCTCTGTTCCAGTTCTGCTCTTCAGACATACCACTGCAGTGTGCAACCTCTGGCACAGAAGCAAAGGGCTTGTCCACCTCTGATAACTACGGAAAAAAAAAAAAGACAAGGAAACCAATTAGTGCATAACCCCTGCAAATTTGAGAACTTCACCTTTTCACGTAATTAACTCCCATCTTGACTTTAGTGCTTACAATCTATCACTAAGCTCATCTATAACACAGTCTTTTAAGAAGATGTACTGTTTTATTTTTGAGACTCTTGGGTCTGTACAGTTAATTCATATTTACACACTATTTCTACTGTGGCAGCACCACGGTTTTGGGTTTTTTAAAATTTTCCGTAGCCCAAGCCAAATTAGCCAAAACAAATCCCAAATCTGGGAGTCAGCCCAGAACCATAAGTGGCCCGACTACCAGCAAACATCTTCCACCCCCATCTTGGGCTTCAGATGTTTCCAAAACCTTTGGTGGGCATCCTTCTTACAGGCCCAAGCACGGAGGGTTGGGGTTTGGATGTCCCCAAGTTTTGCTTGCCTTCAGCTGTAAAGGCCCAGGGGCAAGCCAGGGAGGAGTCTCCAGGAATCCCCATTACGGAACCCATTCAGAACGTAAGAATTGTCATTTACAGGGTCAAACCATAGGTCCATCTTACCCAGTCTCTTGTGTCACAGAGGGGCAGAGAGGGGATACTGAAAGGGAGAGGGAACCGAGTGAGACCAGGGTTTTTTCCACTGTTCCTCTCCCACTTGCAGCCTCCAGCACTTTGGACACTTTTACCCCTCCTGGGGGAGTGCTTTAATTAGAGCGGCTCCAAGAGCCGCTCCACTTAAAGCATCACCATGTCTCATGTATCAGCGTCCCCACGCTTCAAGAGAGCAGCAGGGACTTTTGAACTAAGCTGGTTCGACAAGCTTTACATAAAGCGCTCCGACTGCCATTTTTAAGTGCAGGGACACTGATACACGAGTTACAGGAGGCTGCTGCAGCACAGCAATTGCCACACTCCAGTAGACTCAGTCAAGTCCAGGGGGGCTGGACCCAATGATCTGCAAGGTCCCTTCCAGCCCCTAACAATCTATGAAACTACAAGTCTGCTCTGATGTGCTCGAACCCCAGCGCAGACAGACAGGGCAGGGCAGCCTCCACACTCCTGTACAGGTGCCGTTAAGCTCCAGGAAGCTCTGGTCCAGGGGCCGGGCCAACTCCCAAAGCCCCTCTCCTCCAAGAACACGTCCAGCCCCCTTTTGTGCTGTGCCATTCCACATATGGACCATGACGCTTCCGGTCCCAGACAGAGCGCCATTTCAATACCCTCGATTCACCCCAAGAACTTCATCTGCCATTTTTATACCCAAAAACCTATTCCCACTTTATCTCATCCTGAAACCCTTCCATCCAGGGGCTCCCGGACGCCTCCCGCAGCAACCCCACACCACCTTTTCCAGCGCGGCTGCTTTCCAGAAACCCGTCACTCGCAACAGGGCCCTTCCATGCGCCCCCCTCCAGCGCTGGGGCTGGGTGGGCCTCCCAGCAGCTCGGCTGCGAGGTGTGCATGCGTGCACCCTTCTCCCTGCCTAGCCTAGGGGCCACGGTTTCCTACGAAGGCTCCGTTTATGGCGCAGCTCCCGAATACAAGACGAGCTCCCCTACACCAGAGCCCATCCTGCATTGGCGCTGCGACCGCACCACGACGCCCCCTACAGAGCGGGAGCGCGCCCCCCTCACCGCCTCATGGTCCCGGCCCGTGCGTCCGACTCAGGCGTCCCCCGGAAGCACGCGCCGCGCCCCGGGTTCCGGCCGACCAGCAGGGGGCCGCGCTGGCCGCTGGGCGCTGTTTCCCGCCGGACTGTTTTGGAAAAGGCGACGCGAGCCGGGCGGGAAGACAATGGCAATGGGGGTACGGCGCTACACGCTGGTGCTGCTGCTGCAGCCGCCGCGCGTGTTGCTGGGCCTGAAGAAGCGCGGCTTCGGGGCCGGGCTCTGGAACGGCTTCGGTGGCAAAGTGCAGACGGGTGAGAGCGTGGAGGCGGCGGCACGGAGGTGAGCGCGGGCCCGTCGCGGCGGTGCGGGGACCGCCCCCCCCGCGAGAGGGCAGGTGTCCCAATGCGTGGCCGCTTTTGAGGCAGAAACGCAGGTCGCTCTTGCAGACTTTTAGCTAAATTTGGGGTTCGTTTGGTTTTTTTTAATTTGCTAGTATATTCCGTGTTCAGATCGGCTCCAAAGCTTGCGCTGAGCACAACTGCGCTGTCCCGAAAGCCCATGGGGCATAACGGGTGGGTCTTGATCGTTTAAACACTGCGTGTGGTGCCATCTGTCCCGGCCCCTCTGACTGATTGTTTTGTTTCGTGTCCTGAGTCGAATCGGCCAAATCTGGGAGTCGTTCAAGGAGCATAAGTGGCCTCAGCTACTGGCAAATATCCGCCACCCCTGTGTGGGGCTTCGGGTGTTTCCAAATCCTTTGGCCGGAGTCCTGTGCAGGGTTTGGATGCCCCCGAGTTCCGCGGCACCTCAGCATAGAGGACGGTCCGGTTGTCCTGTGTTCTGTGTTGATACAAAACCTGGTGCCTTTATGTCTTCTGTTTTCCTCTTCAAGAAATAAACACCCCAAGCACAGTCCTGTAGCCCTCTATCCATACGAAACCAGGCGCCTTTATGCCCTCCTCTGTTTTCCTCTTAAAGAGAAATAAATAACGAAGGAGTACCAAGTATTTTTCTTGAAGAGAAAAACAGGACGTAAAGGCATTGGGTTTTGTATTGATAGAAGACAACAGGACTGTGCGTGGGGTGTTTATTTCTTGAAAAGAAAAATCAAGGACATAAAGGCATCAGGTTTTGTATACCATCGTAGAGGACAGTCCGGTTTTCTGCTACTCTGTCCTCTTTGGATACGAGCCTGATGTCTTTAAGTCCTCTATTTTTCTCTTCAAGAAAAGCTTTTTGTACTCCTTAGTTATATATTTCTCTTCAAGAGAAAAACAGGATATAAAGGTGTCAGGCTGCGGTGGGGACAGAGTAGCAGAAAACCGGAAAGTCCTCTCTGGTGGCCACCCTAGTCATACGGCTGCTGGAGCAGGTTAGGGAGAAGTGTGCCGTTTCCATAATGTTGGTGTACAGACAACCTCTGCTTAACGCTGTTTCGCTTGGTGCTGTTTCATTATAAGGCTCATTTGAAATTGATACCCAATTTCACTTAGCACTCAGCGAGTTTTGTTATAGCGCTTGCGGTCGTCATCTTGGGTCAGTAAGAACAATTGTGGTTGCCATCTTGGGTCGTCAGATACTTTCAGTTTCACTTGACGCTGGGTTGTTCAGGAACCAATTAAGAGCACTAAGTGGGGGTTGCCTGTACAGCCAAGAGCTTCCCACTGGAAGTGAATGTGGGAGGCTAACTATGCCTTACTGCAGTCAAGGTACTACCCCCTGCCAAGAAAGTGGTTTTCCCTGCAACTTGGAAAACCACCTTAGTGGTCATGGTATTTCCTCTGCCAGATAAATATTGAATTGTTCTAAACACCGCAAGCATCCTCCATCCCAGCCTTTTGCCCTGGGGCTTCAGATACTCCCAAATCCATTGGCAAATGCTCCCAAATCCTACATGCAGGCCCAAGCCCAGAGGTCTTCACATTTGGATGCCACCAAAAACTACAGGCAAGCATCCTTCATCCCAGACTCATTAGTCTGGGATGTCCAATACTTCCTACACTCAATCTTAGCCCACAAGAGGCTGAGAAGCTGTAACTGACTTTGGGGTTTGCTGTCAGCACTTTCTTTTGACTGCTTGCCTTGAAATCAAGAAATGCTTCAACTTTGATGACCCAGTTCTCACTTGCTCACTGGTGTCTTAGAGGGAGCAGTGTAAAGTAAATAAGAAAAAGGCTTATTTGCATACTTATTTGCATATTTTTTCAGTGAGTGATAGTTTTTCAGCAAATATGATCATTTTATATTTAAGACCTGGCAATGTTGAATGAGAGCTCCTGCTCTCCACCAGTCCAAGCCTTGCAGCTCTGGGGCCAGGCGCTTCCCTGACTCAGAGGCACAGCTTACATGCCTGCCCAGCTCCAGCAGGAAGAGGGACGTCTGAGGAGGAGAGCGGGCAGGAAAGCCACAGAGGTTCTGGGGAAGGCCAGGTGCAAGTAGACAGCGGTGTTGCTTGCAGGGAGAACCAAGCTGCGTGCACTTCACCCAGTCCGCACAAGTGGTGTCTTGGAGGCAGCACGAAGCACTTCATGAGTCTGAGTGTGGCCCGGCTGGCAGGATGGACGTAGAATCATAGAATCGTAGAACACGAGGGTTGGAAGGGAGCACAGAAGGGGACATCTAGTCCAGTGGTTCCAGTGCCTTTTGTTGTTCCAGAACTTTGTAAACACTGATGGCCAGTCCCGACCCAGTGCCCCTCACTCCTGACCCGCTGCTCCCTTTCCCAAGCCCCAGCTCCCCAGTGTATGGGGTGGGGTGGTTGGCTGGGGCATTGGGGGCCCCCAAGCAGGCTGGAACTCTGACATCCTACAGGGGAAAACTCCCAGTTTCCCGCATTTTTCTACTTTAAAGGAGAATCCATTTTAAAAGTTTGTTCGCAACCTTTTCATTTATCTTTGCAACCTACTTTTGGACCATGACCCACAAACTGAGAAATGCTAATCTAGTCCAACCCCCTGCTCAAGGCAGGACCATCCCCAGCTACATCTTTCCAGCCAAGGCTTTGTCTACCTAGGTCTTAAAAACCTCTGAGGCGGGAGATTCCACAGCCTCTGGATAGCGTGTTCCAGGGCTTTACAACTCTCCTCATAAGGGAGTTTTTCCTCGTATCTAACCTCAACTTCCCTTGCTGTGACTTGAGACCATTGCTCCTTGTTCTGTCATCTGCCCCCCCTTGACATTGATTGCCTGCAGTGCTTTCTTCCATCTTGCAGCCTGCTTCCACTTCTCTCCTGAGATCTGTGGTGTTATGGCGGAAGGTGAAACCGATCACGTGGTCAAGGCCTTGTTTAAAAAAAAGCACTGAGCTTCATCAGTTCTAAGAATCCTGCTGACACTGAATTGTGCCTCTTCTGCCCCTTTGAGTAATGTCTGAATCCCTTCAGGATGGCAGCAGGGAGCTTGGTGCTGCTATAGTAAATCTCTGGCTACGTCCACTTGGCTGTCTCTCTGTGGAAAGGTCCATGCAGCACTTTGCAGAGAACTGTCCTCTGACACAGTTACTTTAGCTGCCCTTAACTGCATCATGTGCCTTCAGATCATTTCCTTTCCTGCAAAAGGCAGGAGGGAGATGGGCCTCACTCCTGCAATCTGCTTTTGGTTTATCAGGGTTCTGTTACCACAGCAAATGGTCTAGATGTGATGGTTTGATTAATGCAGGATTTAACACCAAGTGCTTTGGAAAGCACAGCGTGTGTTAAACCTTGAATCAGGCCTGTAGCACTTCACTTAGTGAACAACAGGTGGTAGCTACTGGGTGTGCTTTGGCTGTTTGCATCATTTTGAAAGTAGAGGCTGTGGCTGTAACATTAGAGGTTTTAGCCAGGTGGGGCTCAGGCAGGGAGATGGACCACAGCAGGCTAACAAAATACCTTTCCCTGAACTGTCTATAGCAGTCTAAACTGGAGCCCTCTTGGGGCAGCATGCTAAAGATTACAGCAGCATCACTCTACAGGGGCATCTGAGGCTTTGGGGTCTGGACTCCTTTCATGCCACCTGAACTGGGATTGCAGTAGCAAAAGTCTGCACTATGCCAAGCCACTTTGCACACTGAATGATTACACGTTCAACTGAGATGCCTTTTAAGTGAAGTTTCCTGCTTCACCAGGCTCTCTGGTAGTTCACTGGATACACAACATTCCCTAAAGCGCCCAGTGCTGTTCACTGTGTCACATCTTATTAAAGGAGCATTTAACTGGGTCATTATTTCCAGTTTAACTTATTACCCATTATGTTTCCATCCACTGTGTGTAGGGAGTTGAGCTGCACACAGATGTATCGAATTGCTTAGGAAGCCATAGCAGTGTCACACCCAGCTGTCTAATTATCACAGCCTGTGAAATGAAGCTTTTAGCTCCATTGCTGAGGAAAGTACTTCTATTTCAGACTCCACTATATATTCCAGGAAGATCAACTCAGATTAGTCAAAACATTAAATCAGAGTGTAATTCTGAAAAATGGGATCCATTAGGGTCATGCCAAAGAAAAACTGGAGCCCTACAGAGGGTTCCCATTATGCTGAATAAGAGGCTTGCTGCCAAAAAAAACCTCCAACTACAGATTAGTCATTTTAAAGTTGAGTCTAATTTTAATTAAGCACCTCAGCTGAGTATACACTAGCTTTCAAAATATTAGTAATTTCTGTATATTGGAAGAGCTATGAATGACTCTCACAGCTTTGCACCTCATCCAGTTTGCCAGGGCCAGATTAAGAAAAGGCTTTGAGTACATTTATGTAATTAAAGGCGTTAATTTAATGCGTTTCAAGCAGGCCAGCCCTTTGTGATGCAGCTGGAGATTGACTGACTGGTGTGCGTTAAAATGTGGTTCAGCAGTTTCCTCCTCTGAATGCAGGCCTTTGACCTTAAATATGTAATTTTACTTCCATTTTTATTAATAAAATACTGGCAAGATCTCACTTTGTCTGAATCAAAGGGTAAGCCAGTACTTAAAGGAAACCTTGTTGCCACATTAGCACCGATAATAGTCACACTCTTCTTTGAGTCGGTGCCATCAGCTTCACCATGGTATTTTCGGATGTGATATACTTAAGGTCCTGACTGCATGTGTTTATTAAAACCAGCTTGACCTTTTCCATCGTGCGGGTACTAAGCCAACTGTTCCAGACAAGTTTCAGCCTCAGTAATTGCGGTCTTCAAATGAATGGGATACAGCACTTCCTGTCTTAAACTGTTACATAGTGGGCACATCTACCAAGATGTTTACTGCTGAGTAGACTAATTAGATGCACCGTAAATGTCTCAATGTCTAAATACAAGTACTATCCTGCTGCCCAGTAAAAACTTTTCAGTAATGCACATGTAGATGCTGGAGGGGCTGGCTGGGGCACCCAGTATGTTGTGCAACTCAACAGTAGTTTTATTCAGCCCTAGGAGTAGCTGAATAAGAGTAGAGGCATCTTGTATCACTTCCCTGTCTCACCAAAATGTTTCAAGACTTATTGAAACCAGAGTTCGCAAGCCACTGTGTGCTTGCTGGCTAGAGATTCCTATAAAACTTAAGTTAGGGAGCTGTTACAAGAAGAGTAGACAAGCCAAATTAATTAACTTGATCTAGTACCAGAAGAAAACGCGGAGTGTAAAAGAGGCCACTTCACTAAAACTCCTCTCCAGAATCTCCCATCCAGCCCATTCTTTTTCTCATAAATTGAATTCTCTATTAATTCAGTCTCTTTATGCTTTACACACCAGCTTCCTGCCGTGGGAAGTCAGGTGTCTGCTAGGGAGTGCAGCGCACCCACTCCATACATGCTATACCTTAATAAGGTGTAACCTGCCTTAACCACATGCATGTGGTACTGCATGTGCAGTAATAGCTCTGTCCTGGATGGGCTGATTGGCACTTGCTGAGCACTGCATTGATTAGGTGAGCCATACAGTTCTGGACCCAGTCCTTTGACAGCAACCATAGGCCTGGTTTGTCCAGAATCCATTGCAATCACTAGTCACAAGGTGCCATATTCTGCCAGCCCGCCCTTGTAGTTTCCGTAGGGTGAAGTCCTCTAAACAGTGACATTCAGAGAGAACAGAAGATCTTACAGATAGTCTGTTCTTGGCATTGCATTTCATTTAAATCAAGGGCTAGTGCAGCTTGCATTTACTAGGACTCATCTAAAACTGCTGCAGGACCCAGCATGCACTGCTCCCTCTACCACGGTGTAAGCAGGCTGACAATTTGACTCAAGCTGGAACATTTTATGTTAAGACCTGCATGCACTGACATACATCCCACCCTATTTGCATACTAAGCAGGTACTCCACATTCCTGACAAGGTGCCTCTCTGACCCTGAGTTCTCCCATATCCCAGCTGCTGTCAGCTTCCCCATCCATTTCTTTATCCTCATGTGCAGAAAAAGGAAGACTCTTGCTGTTTTCACCCCAGAAGCATGAGGTGTGTGTCTGGCAGGATTCAGCAGTTGCGTGAATGCTTCTTGTGTAAAATGTCTTGCAGGGAGTTGCTGGAAGAGAGTGGGCTCACGGTGGACACCTTGCAGAAGATGGGGCAGATCACCTTCGAGTTTACAGGCAACTCTGAGCTCATGGAAGTCCACATCTTCCGAGCAGACAGTTTTCACGGCGAGCCAACGGAAAGCGAGGGTAGGTGCATGGGTGGAGCGGCCGCACAAAGAGGACTCGTCTGCATCTCCTGTTTCCTGCTGCTTAGGGGAATGGGTTCCTGTGCCCATAAAGGCAGCTTGTACATACTGGCTTTGTCATTATTGCCTCCCCCATTCCCATTAGTTGTGACCTTCAGCCTTTGTCACGCTGCCACAGCCCAGGAGCTTCCTGCCAGGGTTTTTAGGAAGGGGCTGGTGGCTAAGTCAATGTACGTTGTCTGAGCACCACTTCTCAGAATGTCATCTCCCTGCATCAGGGTTGTTCCTCTGGAAATGCACTTAGCTACTCCTCAAAAGTCCCGCTGAGGAGGAAGCTGGCTGTGCAGGCCAATGGAGTACATTGTTGGTTGTGTTTCCTCTTCTCCCCAAGGGGGCTTGGAGGGAAGGGAGCGGTAAGTTCAGTTTAACCCAAACCTCTCTGTTTTCTCCCTGTTAGAAATGCGTCCTCAATGGTTTCAGCTTGATCAGATGCCGCTCAGCCATATGTGGCCAGATGATGCCTACTGGTTTCCACTGCTGCTCCACAAGAAATTGTTTCTTGGCTATTTTAAGTACCAGGACCATGACACCATCCTGGAATATACGCTGAAAGAGGTAGACGAGGTACAAGAAGAAAACAAAGAAACATTCCACACTTCCCACATGGGCAACATCATTCCCCAAATTGGACAAGCAAGCAAGTAAAGGATTTGGACATCCTTGGTTTGCACCGCCTTCTTGCAGTGGTGTCACCAGCTGCCCAACAACAGGCATTTCTTCCAGAGAATCCGAGAAACACGAGGAAGTGAAGTGGTTTTCCTCAAAGAGAGAACAAAATACAGTCGTTTTTGTACTTCTCCATTCCCTAGTTGTAGTGTGTTATATTGTTGTTTGATGACTCCACTAGGTAGTTTTTTCCTTCACAGTTTACTTGTTAGTTTTTTTCCCCTTTATGTTGGACTTTTTTAAACATTAAATTTTTCTAAAAACAGAGTTTGGAAATGAGACTGTCCTTGAAGAATCTTTAAACTAAGCCAGAAACAGGAGACCTAGTCACAAACGTATCAAGTGCTGGAGCCTACAGTTGAACCACTTATTTCCCAGGTGATGGCAATGGAATTGGTACTCCTTAGTTATTTATTTCCCTATGCATCCTGGCCAGGGTTTATTCCTTCCAAATAAGGAAAACACGTAGCTGCCTCTTATTCACAGTTACATCATGAAACCCAGCGAGTCATGGTCCATGCTGCTAAAGCACTGAGGAGGTCAGGGAGGTGTGTCACTAGTTTTTTCCCCTCTGCCTAAAATAGCTACACGAGCTTATGGCAGTTGATGAGACAAGGATAGGGTAGCTGTACAGCATTGCTTGCACCCCGTGTTTTGGCTGTTAGGCTACAAGTAGATGTTGCCTCTGTCCTGAGAGAAACATGAATCCCACAACAAAGTGCAGTCATTCAGAAGTCCATGTCCATTGTCTGGGGACAAATCCTAAAAAGGTTCCTAGCAAAAGGAGTGCTAACAGTTGTCCTGAGGCAACCACATACATCAGAATAAGTGTCCTGGGATTGCATCATTGAATCAATGGCAGGAAAGCAGCCTTGCATTCAGCTGTTCACTAAACTGTGATTGGAAGGGTGATGCATGTACAGATGACTCCCGGGACATTTCCATTCTGGAACAAAGAGCACAGCTTGTACCAGAACAAATGTAATGTCTGTTCTATGCCTTACTTGTCGTGGAGCTTCTGTGAACCTTCACTGCACAGTTTTTTGTACTATAATGGTCATTAACTCTCCTTCCCCAGAGTCCTTTGTGCTGGACAAAAAAAAATGCTCAGCCCTAAAACAGGTACATCTCAACAGGCACTAATCGCCTACAGCTGCAAGGTTCTCAACAAGCTGTCCTAACGGGTGGCCAAGCTATGGTATCTGTGTCACAGGCAGCTTCCCTGTGTGGCATATGACAGATGGGGAAAGGGATCAGAGTGCAGGGCCTCATTTGTGGTACACCTGCCAAAAAGATTAGCCCCCCATTGCCCTGTGAGGTCAGTCCCTAACCCAATATGCAGGGTAGTGAGAGTTTAATCTATGCAAGAAATGACACATCAACAACACTCTGCTTCTTATACAAGTTTTGTTTTGTTTTTGCATCTTACAAATACATATTTTAACATTTCAGATAGAATCTTGGAATGTAATATATAATCTGTAAACATTTCCAGTCTACCAACTGTAGTAATAATTTCTTTAATTCCTGCAGTTTGATAAAGTGCTTCATACATAAGAGTATTTGAGCAAAGCAAAGATACAAGATATTCCAGGCAGGCAGAATTCATGTCCTCCAAAAAAGCCTGCCTCTTCCTATCTCTCTCTCCAGCAGCTCTGAATAAGTACAGACTATTCAAAGTGCCCTTCTTTATGTGCTTCGTGAGCCATGGTTAGAAGGCAGAGGATAAGAGTTGGTGCCTTACTGTCTTGCCATTCATTTTGTGCTCCAAACACTTATGGAGTCTCAAGACATCCACTTCAGCTACAGATGCCTACACAGTGAGTGGTCTATAGGTTGGGATGGTAGTGACTAAGATATTACACTCTGCTGGTTAGTTTGTGGTCTGGGCAAGTTCGACCAGTTGAACCAATTCTTATCAGAGGCCACAGACCAACTGGTCAAAGACTGAATTATCTTAGATTCTGCCTCCTAAGGCTAGGGCTGTTATACTATTATTCAGTCGTCTTTTGCTACTGCTTTCTTTAGCGAGCAGTCATTTTTGTCTCTACTGCAAGTACAGATAAACATGTTTTGAATAATGAATTTCTGTCCCCAGTTGAACTGCTTCATCTTTCAGTAAAGTCCTAGTCCTGAATGTGTGATTCCAGCTTTAGAGATCCAGTAGCGACTTCCCTGCCTCATCGAGAGCTAAGAGTGGATGGTCAGGGAGAAAAGGTACTGTTCAAATGCAGTGATCATATCAGCAATTGGCAGATAAAAGGAAATAAGTATATATAGGAGCTGTGTTTTTCAAAATACCAGATGAAAAGTATTCCACCATCAGTAAAGCCTTCTTTGAGTCTGGTCAGTGTCATCTCTTCCCAATCTGGGGAGGAGATGGTACTTGGCACTCCCTATCCTTCCAACACCTCCAGTGAAAAGAATCTTATCCTCTTAATGTGCTTATCTACAGACCTGACTTCTCCAAGCCTCCTGGTGTGAAGACACTTGGACTGGAAGGTTGGAGGCCTTGTTTAACAAATGACATCTTGAGTGGGTGGAAGGCCCCCTGAGGTCAATATGTTCAGAGAAAGTTTCCACTCAAAAAGGCACATTCAGTCTTTGGTGTTAGATCTCAGAGAAGTTGTGGATCATGACTAAATAGCTAGAGTCTTTTTTAAATGCTTTTCTTGTGTGCTTAACATTTGTTGCAAAGTACTTGTCCATCAGCACAAGCTTCAGGAATTGGTCACTTAAACCATTATACGAGATTGTTACCACTTCCCAGTGCTAGACGTGGTCTGTTTTAGTTAGTGATAGCATAAAAGCAGTTCACTTTATTACCTCTGCAATGAAGAACTGAAAGTCAATTTGACTTTTCTATGTTGCACTCTTCTAGAGCAGAGAAAAGGCTACTAGATGCTATCTTTCTGAGAACTGCATTGTATGAACCAGTGAGAGAAAATCATAGAGCCAGAACCCTGCCAGTAACTAAAATAGGCACTGCAATGTGGTATTAACTCTCTCAGATGGCAGCATTAAGCTCTTATTCTCTTGAAAGCAGCCAAATAAATGCCACAATGTTAAACAGAACTGCAACTGCAAAACTCAGCAAAGCAATGTATGCTCACCCCAGCCTTCAGGCCATCCCTCAGTGACTAGCACAAGACAACTGTGCATGAATGAGTATTCTCAAGTCACTGCAATCCCAAACAAACAGTTTCTTAATGCATGTTATTGGGGTTAACCTACATAAACATGATTATCATAGTGCATTTCACAGAGAGGCTGTAGAGCTGCTACTTGGAGGGGGAACAGTAGAGTGCTGTTACCCTCTCACTGAACATTTATTATTCCAGCGTCCAATATGATTGTAATTTAACATATAATCCTTCTGTTTTCAATCCTTTTATAAAGTGTGAATACAACAAATTCTTTCCCCTCAAGCTACTGCATGGCTCTGATCATCTACCTGCATTAGACAACTGATACATTTCCTCCCCTTTTGTCCCTATGATTTCTCAAATTTGATCTGCTCTTCAGCTGACCAAACAAATAAACGACTGAAAGCAAGGGAAGGTGAGACTGACCAGCAACCAACATATATCTAAAGGTGTTAACAGTCTATACTAGTGTTTAAAGATGTGCTAGCTGAAATGTTAGCCTGTTTACTCACAAAGGCAGGTCACGGGGCTCTTTGGAGGATATTTCTGTCTCAAGGATTGACCAACCTCCTTGATACCAAGCTAATATTTTGGAGACGGGTTAGAAAACAAGTTCTTAACACATAATTGGTAGCGCATTTGGATAGTTCTACTTAGACATATGGTTCACAAAAAGAATCAGATTTTGATGATTGCAGGATCTAAAATATATTCCATATTAACAGGAAAGATTCCCAGAATGAGGAAATTTGGTTCTGAGTTCATGTCTGACTCAGATCTTTCATCCTAGTTAATGGTTTGCTTCACATGGATGAAGCAAAAAGAAAATGTCAAAAGCTAAGTCCAAAGCTCCCTGACAGACAATCCTTTTGGTCTGGGAGGGAGAAAGTTCAAGTCTCAAACCTCTAGGCAAATTAGAGCCCTGGCACTAGAGAGCCTGTCCATCTCAAGGCTAGTTTACTTATTTATCCATAAGCTCCAGGAGATGCCCAAGACTCCTTTCCTATCCCCATCTGAAGGGAGCAGCAAAGGGGGAGGATGAGAGGCTTGGGGAATGGTCCAGCCCCCTTTAAGAAGATACCTTATTAAACACCAAGTTAACGGCAGTATATTTGTAAATGACTCAATAAACAGCCTGTCACTTCTATTATCTTCCCACTTCTTCACAAAGATACGACCATCATCATCACTACTATAAGGTACCAGAAGAGTGGGTGGCAACACCTCTCAGATCAGTACTGACCGTCACTGGCGACCTATGCATTCTGTCCTAGCCTGCAGCCTCAATTATTAGTAGCTTTTGGGCTGTAGGAACAGCAGTCCTCTCAAGCTGCCAGTATGCAAGAGGCACCACTGAATGGATGCCAGCCCACCCCAAGAGAAAAACATCCACCAACAGCTGCCCCTCATCCAACCTACAAAAAGTTTTCCCCTACTAAGGAGTGTATCGGCATTTAAACCAGTTATTCTTCTGTGTAGCAGTTTGATTCTCTTGGAAAACTGTGACTAAAAGACTTGCTGGACAGCAACCTGTCACACATGAGGAAGCACTGCCCAATGCCCTCCCGTGAGACCCCCTCCTACTTCCATCCAGTATTTAGCCTCCCCCCAACCCTCCCCCCCCAAACCAACAAAAAACC